GCATTCATGAAAACCTTTCAGGCTCCACACTTTCGTTCTCACACCCTTCACCCTCGTGCTGGGAATGTGGACCAGAGTCTGTCATTTTGTTACGTAGTCCTTCCCTGGGTCTTATTAAAGTCTCCCTCTTGCCCCGTAGAATGCGTCTGCTATCTCCCTGGTACATGTATTTCACTCGACCCCTGCCCCCCCCATCTGTGCTATTCGAGGCGTAATTCGTCCATCCCCTGCACCTTGGTGATTGATGAGAGGCTAAAGCCTCAGAGTATTTATCATGGTCATGTCTTTGCTACATGCACCACGTCTCTTGTAAAACCTACTGTCAGCCAACTAGCTCCAATCGCCGCCTCGTCTATCCTGTCTCTATTCCTTATCCCAAGTATATGACTTGCCATTCTTTAGTCTCTTGTGTGCCAGCTCACAAATGTTGTGGTACTGTCTGCTTTGGTTAGGTTCAATGTTGAACTACAACGTTTGTGGGTTGGCACAAAAGAGACTAGAGCATAGGAAGTAATATGCTTGGTATTAGCGATATAAAGAGGATAGAAACAGTCGTGATTCAAGGATCATGTTTCAGATCAAACACGTCTATTATTAGTCTTTACTTTTTCTATCTGTGATACCATGTCAACTACTTCCTAAGTCCTAGTCTCTTGTGGGCCAACCCACAAATGTCGTGGTTCTACTTGTATTGATAAGGCGTATCCTCTTTGCTTCTGATTCTTCTTTTCTCATCTCCTTGCGATCACTTTTCCTAAAATTAAGAATATTAACTTTTCCTAGTCGTCTTCTTTTTGTTGATCTTCCTGCTGCCTGGTCTTCTCCGAGTTTGTTTAGGCAATTTGCAAAGTTTTTGCTGATCCTGCCTACTTCAAGTCTCCTGTTCAGTAGATCTCTCTCGATCAGTATTTCGATGGCCTCTCGGATTTTGTGTTTTCGTGCATCTTCGCCACATGCAGCCAACCTTTTGGTCGATTTCCAGTCAATTTCGTGTCTCGTTCGTGCAATGTTTTCCGCTTATTTTCATATTGGAGTAGATTTTCGAGACTAACACTAAATCAGTAATATGAAATTTATTCATTCTATTTCGTCTAAGCTGATGAAGGACTGGTAGTAGAATTTTCCCACAATGAATTGAGTTAAGCTGACGTTACTGGTAGTCTCGAAACTCTACTCCTATACGAAAATAAGTAACCCAGTCGATTGCTATAGCAAATATACGTTTGCTTCATCAACACTCCCACCAAAGAATATGATATAGCAAGGAGGCCTGACCCTCCTTGCAATTCGCTTATGCCCTGTGACTCAAGGGTACTCGTGGCAGTGTAGCCGAGTGGTTAGCGTGTCAAGTTCACATCTTGCACTTTCGCTGTTCGACTCCCGTTGACGGAGTTGATAAGACCGAGGCGAGGTCGAAAATGCAGTCCACCAGTGCCTGGATGATAACAACTTATGGGAAAGACAGGCTATGTGAAATTCAATGGAAACGTCAGCTCTACTCATTTCATTGTGGGAAAATTCTTCTTCTGCCAGTCCTTCATCACCTTAGACGAAATAGGGCGAATACATCTCAATGTGTTCCGCTATTTCGGATCTTTTCTTATCCATGTTTCCTGCAGAGTCTTTGATGTTCCCTGATTTGTAGGTCGATTTTTCTTTCTGTTTCACCGTATTTTCCCATGTATAAGCCACCCTTTTTTTCCAAAATTTCCAAGCCCAAAAAGTAGAGGGGTGGCATATATAAAGCAGGTACACGTTTTATGCTTGAAAAATGCATAAAATAATAAAGTAGGAATCAACTGGTTTTTCAGCAGTATGTTGTACTTTTTTGTAAAGAATTGTAAGTGATGATATGATTACGAGACGATATTCTTCACCCCACACCTGAATATTAGAAGACGATGATGTCCGACGACATGGATAGTTGAGCAATGACAATTTGGTGCAGTTATTACAACCAAGATGATTTTGCAAGAAGCCAAAAGAATAGCAAGAGAAAAAGA